AAGAATTCAGTTCTGGATCCGTATCCAAGACATGTCTGGATTGATCAAGTTCAAACTTCACACACACATGGTACATCATGTCACAAATAGATATGTGCATTTGTTTCATGATCTGCTTAACAATAGCGGAATGATGGCCATTTTAAGGCCGAAAATGCATCAAAATCACGTATTTTCACAATTCCAGAACCGGATCTCAGTCATGCATGGATGGATTTTGTTCAAATTTGGTACATACATTAAACATAATAGGACCTTGATGCACGTCTTTTTTTTTCGGATCAAGTTCAAAATGGCCGACTGGCGGCTATTTTGTTAAAGAATTCAGTTCTGGATCCGTATCCAAGACATGTCTGGATTGATCAAGTTCAAACTTCACACACACATGGTACATCATGTCACAAATAGATATGTGCATTTGTTTCATGATCTGCTTAACAATAGCGGAATGATGGCCATTTTAAGGCCGAAAATGCATCAAAATCACGTATTTTCACAATTCCAGAACCGGATCTCAGTCATGCATGGATGGATTTTGTTCAGATTTAGCACAATGTGTTGTACATATGCAGGTGCATTTCGGTCATGATCTGCTTTGAATGTATATGTCACTCAAATATGAACGGAACGGGGACGTGTCATTGACAATGACTTGTTCTTATATATAACGATATATTTGCATGTATTTGTTGTGGATATATTCCCAAACAATAATGGTTCCTAGCGTTTTTCACATTCTCAACACGCAAATGTATACGAAACCCAGCAAATATCAGATATATTAAACAATATCAGAAGTATTAAACAAACTAGTGACATCAAATTCAAACACTTTTTAGCTTCATTGTTGACAAAGTCAATCCTAGCTATTCATGTTATTGCTGGATTTTTATTTATTTACATTGAAAGCAGAAGCCATACATGTATAACATGCGTCAGAATTAATAGAACCAATGGCTAACCATAAACATTCATACAGCACAAAATCCTCTTTGCTGTTATTTCTGGTAGTTTCATCCTATTAAATTACCGCAATTAGGAGTAGAATGATGTAAATGTATAATAATGAGGTTACATGCATCACAAGATTTAATATTAATAATAATATAATGGTTATTTTCATGTTAATCTCAAATTATCACATGGTATTATTAGATGTATCTGCTGTGTAATTCATGTAACAATGAATACATACATGTTCTCTGACTGTAGCTTAATACATGTATTTGGACTAGAATACATGTATATATTGCATTTCTAGAATAAATAATACTTTTCTAGTCTATGAATTTTGTGGAGTTCGGGTTTTGGTTAAAAATATTTTAATAATCATTTTACTTTTACATTTTTAGGGATCTATTTCCCTCATAGAGATTGTAATTTAAAAATAGAATGTGTTTTGGCATCCTAGTCTATTTTTACATGCAAGGGTGACTGGCTTTTTATGAATTGAATACTGTAACGACCTCTAGTTCACATTGCACATAAACCAGTTTACACATTTACTAATGGGATTGTTGTTTTGCATGGAGATTCTAGGCATACAGTATCGGGTCATATTTCGCCTTGCATGTATTTTTGTTATACGTCTAATGCTACTGAGTGTTTCATGTTGAGAGTTCTGCTTTGAAGCTACAAAATGTATTTGATTTCACTCAATCAGTAACTAAAACAAGTCAAAATGCTGTTAGATACAGAAATTCATGAAATTGTGATTAATGTTATCTTTGACTGCCCGTATTGTTATGAAGGAGGAGGTAGTTTTGTTGTCATTGTCGTTAACAGTTTTTCTCCATGTACCTATACTGTGATGACCAGATGCAGTTTCAAATATTGAATCCCAAAATATTATTACAATATTATTAATTTTTCATTTGAATGGATAAATCAGTGAAAATAAAATCTAGTGAAATTCACTTTGTTGTATATTCAACTCATCAACAACCAGTAAAAAA